CAGTACATGAAATTATCTTATGAACTTTTACTTTATATATGCTTAGTTCACGAATGTCGGATTAAGATATAATGACAGGAAATATACTCGCGTCGTAATGATTAATCCATGCGACAAATAATAGACGTCCTAATTGGCTTGTTAGAGATACTATATAATTAATTGATTACCAAGCAAAGTCCTAGGCTGTAATGTCACACATCCCGTATGAATATACTCGATCAGCTGCCGGAAGACATCGGGCTCGAATTCCTCGATAATCAGCGTATGATGCTGATGTGATTGCGGCTACGATACAAAAGTAAAATACAAACATCTAAACGAAGAAATGGGGATATTCAGATTCAAGCTTAAATCGAATACCCGTGCTAAGCGACTTGCATGGGAATTCGTAAGGACTAGCGCAATAGTAGATCAAATTCACTAATTATGAAGAAAGAGATGATATGTTAGATAAGAGATACATCGGCATCATAATATTTGTTTTAGTGCAAAATTTTAGCTATTGTGCATCTAACATATTAGGATAATATATTGCCTAACTATTGTATAATAACCCAGCGAACATATTCAAGTGCTGCATGTGTTAATATTTTCTAAATACATTTTTTGCGTTTTACTGAGAACATCCTATTATAATTTGTCTTAAGATGCACACTGAAATTTACATTAATATTAATAATCACAACTTGTTCGCTTGGTTGATTTGTGAGTTACCATTATGTAAGTCAGTATGACTACGTTTACACACAATACCCTTAATCGGGTTTGATAGTAATTGTAGTTGTATGAAACTGGTTAATCATAGCTATTTCACTGAAGAATGAAATGACTGTGATTGGCCAATTTCGTGCGCGCGCTCACATACACGCACACACACAATATGAATATTATTAAACCTGATTAAGAGTGCCGTGTAAACATAATCAATAACAGTTGAAATAGTGAATTCTGTAATCGTGCCAATCTACAGCTATAATGGATTTGGCGACTACGAGAGTACAATTGAATCGATCATGCAGTAGTTCAAATATAGAATTAGCGCACAGTTCAGTCCATAATCGCATGAATTAATTACATATTTGCGCACGTGTCTGGAGAATAGTCTATCTCTCTTCGACGCACAAAAGAATAAATAAGATAAAAGAACGTTTGTCCAAGTAAAAAAGTCAAGGCAGCGAAAAAAACATTGATATGTCAATACATAAATTTCAAGTGGTCTCCTACGACAGCTCCTCTAAATGATTTCGTGAGGCAAAGTCATGATCACAGTGCAGTGAGCAGAAAATTAGCGAAGAAAAAAAGAGGAGTACTCAATTAGAAATATAGGGAGAAAGGGGGGGGGGGCCAGATATAGGATGGAAACGATTGCGATCTGTATGTAAAAAATTTTTTGTAAAAGTGACGTTCAAAGTACCTCTTGGATGGGGGCCAGTTGCTGCGTGAACCCTGACCGCTACACGACACATACAAACGCACACTTACTATCACTTTTCTATCCTGATAAAAGCGGAATATTCATTTCAGCGACGGCCACGATAAATATGCAACGTGTCCCAAAAAAAAAAAAAAAACGATTGTCGTTTCAACAAGATATTTAGGTTAACAGAAATATACGTGTAACTATTTTCTTATTTTATATTAATTAGCAGACTAACGGAAAATCCAGTTCTATAAGTTTCGTTAAATTAAAATTGATAAGATTGACACGAGCGATCGTTGGGTTTTGCATATCGAACGTGTTCGCTCCTTACAATTAGTCTGAGAAATTGTTTATATCTATTTCATATATGTGCTATTTACATAATGCTTATTGTCTCTTTCTGTTTTATATTGAGTTTTATATGAGATATATACACGCGGCATATATTGATTTTGTCACAAAGGAAAATTGGAAAAGGAGCTGGTTAAAGAATATCAGAATTAGATCAAAAAAATCTAATATCTTCCTCATCGCGACCAGATATACATTATAAATATTGCGCTGTATTAATTTTTTTCATTGGCCAACGCGACAAGTTTGTTAGTGATAAATTATGTATTAACTTTCAAGTACCTGTTGCGCGGCGTTCTGCAAATTTAACAGCGGCTCGGAGCTGCGCTTGAGAAAGAGCCGAATCTTGTTTTCTCGCGCCGGCGGTTCTTTTTTACGTTGCGGGCTCGGAGTTTGATATAGCATTTTATGGAAGACTCTGTAAATTTGGAAAAGGATGAAAACCTTTGTTTTACTCGCTTGTTCCATGCGAGTATTAATATGACGATGTTTTTTTATACAAACCTGCTTCTGGCCGCGAGCACAGCTTTTACGGCGCAAACTGGCTCCCTGGTGTCACCGACGAGGAATGTCACGTCGCAGAGCTCTGGCATGCTCGCCAAAAACTTCATGTCTTCGGCCAGGCCGGTTTTATTCTCGAAAGTCGAGTAATCATCCTCGTCGGTCATTCCAGATCCTGAAGCCTCCGGCATCGGGCCCATGTCTTCCTGCTGTTTATTTTATGTAGAATGAGGATAAATTGTTGTAATTCTATTTCCTGCTTTATTTATAATTTCGATTTTAATTGTTTGATTCCGTTTATAATAAATGTAAAGACTAACGTGATAAGTATTAGTATATGCAATATTATTTACATTTGTTTATTTGTTATAAAACCGACGTAAAAAATTGTTATGTCAATAATTATTATGTACACAAGTAGTGCGCAGGCTTACAATTAGATAAAAATATCATGGCCTTTTAATACGCAGCAGGGGATTGTATAAAGAAAAACGTTGCTTTCATCTACAAAACTATTATTTAAAAGATAATCTTTGCTACCTCTTTCCTTTTTTCTCTCGTTATAAGGTAATCCATAGTACTAACACTTTTATGCTAAATACATACACTATTAACACTTCGATATAAACACTTCTCTTAGAAATTTTGCTGTAGAGTGCAGGCGTTTTATCGAGAAGAAAAATCTGCTAGCTCTCTTGTCGACAAAGCGTTCCTACACTATAATAGAAGGATGTACTTTTTCTTACAACGGATCACACTACCTACAATGTAATTAACCTACTTGCTAAATAAAAAATTTGTTATCAAGTTTAAAAAGTAATGCGGATATGCTTTAATTTCATTGATTAATCCTGTCAATAATGCTTCATACTTAATTGCTGCTGTTCATTGTCGTTATGTTTGAAATAATCGAGACAAATAATAAGCACACACGCATGTATAAAAAGAATTATTCAAATCCTGTAACTTTTTTTCAATCTCCTCTTCGTTATACTAAATACAGAACTTATTTTAGAATTTACTTTTGTACATTGTGTGTGTAATTGTATATCTTGTTCTAAAAAATATAAATAAAGTAATTTATGATATTATTCAAAGAAATATTAAAATTAATTCATTTTACAAAAAAAAAAGATTTGTCTTTTTAATAATTTAATAATGAATTACTCAATTAATTATATTCTACGCATTTTTCAATTTTATTAAATCTGCAATAGTTTAGAAAAATATTATGTTTTAAATATTACGTTTTAGCAATTTATAAAATTTAATTTCTTTTCCTCGCTTTCAATAATTGCCAGATTACTTCGCTTTGTTGTAAACAATCAAATGCTCTAAATAATTACGTGCAAGAGGATACAATCACGTACAGAGAATAAAAAGAAGAGGGCAGAATAATTGTTGGGAGAGAAATAAATAGAAAAGTGTCTCAATATGAAATGAAGTGTTACCTGTTGCTTTGATCCCGGAGCCTCTTCGCTTGCCGGGCTGCTTTGGCCCCGAAAAAACACTTTTAACTCTCTTCTTGAATATTGTCGGAGAAATCAATCGATGTTGGCTGAATCGAATGCGCAAAAGAAGAATTCATTAAACACAATTAATTATTAATCGTGGAACACGCATATGCAAAGACAAATAAGGGTCAATAAGAATTAAATTATTAAGGAGATTATTAAATGTATACGTTTTCCCTCTTAAACGTATACGTAATACATTAATTAAGCACAATATACACAATAACTTAATTTGACCCAAACCGGGAATACAATATCCCAAATCGCAAACACAGTTCTCACATATTTAAATGTAATATGTAAATGTAAATTATATTCAACAGCGTCAAGATAAAGTGTGAAATAAAAATTAATACAAATTGCAGGCGAAATTTATCGAACACTTCGACCGTAAGGCAAGTACCTAGAAGTCCGCGGTATATCGAGCTCGGGATACAATCGACGTCGCGGGATTGATCGCGATGGTTTCCAACGCGCGTTTCCAACGAAGCTGCCCGGATCGAGCGAACACCGCCCTTATTTGCCGCGGAAGAGATGAGGGGTGATCTTGCTGCAGAAAATGCGCGCAGAAATGAACGTCTCAGTCCTGGCTGCTGTCTTCGTGAAGACTCGAGGGATTCCGGACGCGTTGGGGGTTGCTTTCGTGAATGGATACACAGCCGGAGGGAGCACAGGGCGAAGTCTCTGGACGAGCAAAGAGCTGGACAGATGCAGAGCTTCCTGTCGACGAGGCGTCGAAAAGACGTCACGGCGCCTGCGTCATGTGGAACGTCGACGCCGCCCGTTTCTTCGCCGGCTCGACCCCGGAGGACCTTCTCCCTATCGGACAGGATAATTACAAGTGAAACGGATATCCTTGGTCGAACGATTGATTAAATATCGCTTGAGAGTATTCAGTTTCGAGGTCATATGTCATAGGCTTGCACTTTCGCTAATATCAATTGTTCTTAATTGTTGATAATGTACTTGTTGATAAATTCTGACTAGCTAGAAACTCAGAAATTTTAATTTTGAACTTTTTGCAATTTTATATATTCTATAAAACGTGTGATAATTCATCTTTTGTGCAAAATGTAATACTACGACATAATTAATATCTATATTTTAAAATATATATAATTTTTATTTCCCATTTTGCAATTCTTTAAACTCTTTTGGGACAATAGTTTTCATAATTCGCTAAAAATGTATAATTTTATAACATTTTATTAACTCTTACTGTTTCATAATTTCCAATCGTCTGGTTCTCAAACATTGGTATTTTTAGGCTATCGTGATATTTTTTTGTATGACTTATTAATGAGCAAACAGAAAACGAAGATAATATAACTGCAATGAAACATTACTGCAATGAATTCGGATTAAGTTTAATCTAGCGATATGTATTGGAATCATTGGTGTTGTTAAAAAAAACTTTTTCTTCTCACTTCGTGGCATTCCGCTATCTTTCTCTTTTAATCAATATCGCAACAAGTTGCAACGCGACCCCATCACACACGAGAAAAATTCTTTGGATTCGATCTGATATAAATATACAGCTAAATTCAATCTGATTTAAAAATACATTGTATATGGCATAAAATAAAATAAAATAAAATAAAATTATACATATTATATAAGCAGACTTTATACAATACTGATTACTTTTCATAAATTACAAAATCATAAATAATTATATATTTTAGTTTATCTGTTTTACTTTGTATTTTCTATTATATTTTTATGTCAACTAAGGAGTAAAAGTACTCTGGAATTTTGTAAATAAAGGGATAGCTTGTGATGGTTAATTAATTAAAAAAAAAAAATGTTCAAGTATTCTTTAAAAAAAATATTTAAGAAGAAAGGCTAAATTATTTTCAAGCACAAATATAATTTGAAACATTCAAGCTCGAAATCGCGCCGAGTGACCCTTCGAAGGACTTTTCATCCCCTCGAGTGGAGTCTCTCGTGTAGCAATGTGCTCTTCCTGCGACGACAAGAACGCCTGCGCGAGAATAACGAACGATTTCATTTTCGCTCGCGTAACAACCCCTTGATAATTGGTAAACGGTTCGATAGATAGAAGCGATTGGTCGTAATGAACTGGAAACTTCATTATCCAGGAAAACATTTCCATTCCCATGTTGTATTTTGAAATAAAGGCTATATATGCGTATTCGCTCTCGTCTCCACCCTGAATTGCCAGACCGTTAGGTGCTGCCCCGTCCTGCGATTCCATCACGAAATTTTTCCGTCATTATTGATCCTTGGCGGGACCGCCGTTTACCTTGCTCCTCGAAACAGCGGAACTCGTGGGTGGCCAGAAATGGGTCAGGGCTAAGCGAAAGCGTGCCATGTTCCATTTTCACACGATGTTCTAGGCCCGTAACAAAGTGTCCTATTTATACTCCTTTCGAAAATATATCGCTTGGCGTATTCACGTCCATCGGCGGTAAAGACATTTCGTCGTTTACCTCCAGATCACATATTCTCTCTCTCTCTCTCTCTCTGCAGAGTTATAGTATTACAGTAGAAATATTATAAATGCAAACTTTAATTTAACCTTTAAGTAGGTGACTACAGCACTCTACGCATAGTCATCTTAAAAATTTGGTTCTGAAAAAGGAAAATGGAAAGAATTGCTCACAGAAATCTTCATTATTTCACACCCCTCTATTCCACAAGAATATAAATAATGTAAATTTATACATACTATTATAAAATATAATTTTAAAAAAGTAAAATTTATTCACGGTGTTCTGAGCACCTTACTTACCTACTTAAAGGTTAAGATATTAAGTTGAGAATAGAAGAAAGCACGAGAGGCAAGGGGTTTTCTAAAAACTATTAGTAACATAAAACAACATCGATTTATTCAACACAAATACTTGCACGTTATGATAGAGGTTTGTAGTAATAATGATATAATAATGAATAATATTCATATGTACACGAAATAAGGCACGTTTGATATATTAATTAATAAATGCGCGACGGGCCCGTGCATGGGAAACATGGGTCTTTTCTCTTTCGGCGGTCGCGCGTTAGTCGCGTTTATAATTACTATCAATCGTCTCCGTCCCTTACGATATGCAACGTCCTTACCAAATGTAGAAAATGTCGTATATATAATCTGTATAAACGCCTTCGACCTGCACTCTTGCGTTCGCGTTTGCTCGCGTCGTACCATTAGGAATGAATCGCGAGGCGGATTCTCGCATGCGAGATTATCCGCGGCTTGCACAATCACGCTCCCTAAGCTATTCAAATACGTCTCGTATCGCGCATTGGCAAACCTGCGGCAAAATTTTGCTTCGAGAAACTCGATTAATCCTAAAATGAGAATCGCTAGTTAGTCGTGTCTAACTAAGCACGCATTCGTACGCGGGCCGGCGCTCGCTACTTCCTTTCTCTCCTTCTTTGCGAATTATTTTTCGCAGTTAAAGTCGTGTGTAACGCATTCATACGCCCACGATTAATTACACGCAAAATCGCAAAACCTAACGCGACGCGGCTCGCGCGAAAAGTGCAGCCGCGCAACTCTGCAATTTTCTCATTGCAATATCTGAATCTTTTATTCGGCTGATGTTAATAGAGCTATGTACGCTTTTTCTTAATTTCCGTGTCAAGAAAAAGCTCCATGTACATGATATTTTAATTTCTTTCGCCACATTTCTTCGACGTATGAAATTTTACAATTATGTTCTCAAACGTAACGAAGAAAAGAAAAAAAAGAATAAAATTGCATCACATGATTAGACGTAGATGAATTAATAATAATACAGGCCAATGCCTGGTTTCAATCGTCGATTTAATAATTATGCATTTCTGCACATGTAGCGATATTTGTGATTTTGTTGGCACGCAAAAATCATTTTCAAATTTGAATATACCTAAGAAACTTCACGAATGAAATTGTTAGACCACACTAAATTAGACCATTCTCAGGCGAACATGTCATAAATTTTTAAACACGTAACTAACAGGTAAAGACTTGTTAATGTATTTTAGATTTAAATCTTACTTTTATACGAAGACTGTATTATGCGCGTCGATTCTTGACCGCGCTCGTATAGTGATATGTAGCTAAAATTATAAGAAACAATGTTTCCTTATAAAACTGTGTACTTTTTATGAAGTATTCGCTAGCGAATTTACACATCCAACTAATCGCCGATTCACGATCGCGAATCGTTCGCGGTTGTCGAAAGCGCAGACGATCCGCTTACGATTAATAATTCATACATATTCATACACTTAGTGACACTCTCTTAGATCTACTTAGGCGGTACTTACGTTCTCTGAACTGGCATCAAGACATTGTATCTTACACGAATGTATTGTACAAACAGAATTCAAACAATATTCGTCTCCAGAATATTTTACCGCTCTCTTCCTTTACGCGTTTCTAATTAAATCTACGCGAGTATCTAAATTAAAAACTAAAAAGAAAATATCATATATATTCTCTTTTTGTTACAGGTGAAATGTCGCCGTCATCATCTCGGCGAATCTGGAATGTAAAATTCACCTCCGAAGAGGTAGCAAGAAAGAGACTATGAACGATCGACGAATGTTATCGCGGATAATCGAATCGCCGATTAGCGATATGACGTCTGGCGTTTGTTTTAATATGAGGAATGACGTTAGTGAATGATATTATTGCGTACACTTTCGAAATATTTCTCTCGAACACTGAGAAAAGCGTGATTGGGAATAACCTGAAGGTAAACCATCTTTACTTATAAGATGCATGCTATCTCATGAGCCGTTGCATGAGAACAATGCAAATTGTTCAAACGCAATTTGCATTAAGGGAGCTATAATTCTCTTCGCGTTTTTCCTTCAAACTCGCACATGGCACTCCAAGAGTTAGCAGAAGGGCACGATTGCGCAGATATCGTCTAATACAATCTTCCGAAGTCATTCGGTACACGCGAACACTACGTTTTCATTAACGGCAACGTAGGAGTCACTATTTTGTAGGAGTTCGTCCTCGGTTGTAGCAAGCTTGAGATGGGAATATTTGAAATTTGGCACTTGATTTTTCTAAAGGATAACGGCCGCGTTCAAACTCGTCGAATACATTCTGCAGTTCGTTCTTGAAATTGCCGCAGTATAATAAGAGACAGAAAGGGAAGTAATTCGCTCGCTAAGATCGACACGATGTGTCGTTTCTATGACAATATCAAGCATTCCGCTTCCCTTTTGATCCTCGTGGAAGCGCGAATGATCAATGAACGAAAGTGATGATCGAGAACTATTTCGATGGTCGATACAATCACGTTCGTTCACAATCACGTTCGAGCTAATCTCTCGTAATACTTTTAGTACTTAGGGCTATCAATATATGAAACTCAAATCATAATCGATTCGAGCGCCATACAGTGCTCGGAACTTATTCTAATTAAATGCAGTTTCTCGAGTACAAAATTCTCAAAGTATATTGTTCTCGCAAACGTTTCGTTGCATCGATCGATCTTTCGTTTCACACGTTTCAAGCTCGTCGATGAGAAGTCGATGATGGACTCTCTCTCTCTCTCTCTCTCTCTCTCTCTCTTTCTCTTTCGTTCCTCGTGAGAAAACGCGTAGGGTTTAAGTTGGTCCATCAAGCGATTCCGAGCGGTTCCGCAGGAATTTTCGCAATGTCTTGCGGAATTTGCGAGATTTATCTACCAAAGCGGGTCTTGGCGATTGAGAACCGTTTCCCTGGTAGCCAAGATCCGGCGCGGTCAGAAGCGTGATTGCGACTGTGGGAATGACGACGCGAAAAGGCGCGGTATCACAGCTTCGATGGATCGTAATTCTCGAAGGACCATCGCTGTCTAAGGGCATTGGACGAGCATTCTTCCATCACCAGTTGCTGCTTGCTCTCTGTAATCGCTAGACATTTGTCGCTGCTACCGTGCCTGATATGATTAGTCTGGAAATAAAAGTACCGGATCAGATTTCAGTTTTCTTCCCTCGAAGAGCAATTTAACGAGAGATTAATTTACATAAAAATACTTGCTAGCTAAATTGTTTCATTTATGATATCAAAATCTCCTCTCATAGATTAGCAAAAGAATGTCACGAGAACGGTTCGTTACCTGAGGATTGTAGATCCATTGTTGATTTCCTTTACTGCCATGACAAGGGTAGAGAATAACGTCGCTGCCGCTGTAGTCCAAGCACGACTCGTCTCGACGGATTTCGCCCGTCTTGCTGAGCATCCAGTACTGCGACAGACAATCTTGATTAATATTGCCAAAAATTCCAGACTTGTCTACGACCAACGAGGTTTTAACAGCCGCCGCGAAAAAAAAACCCCCAAAAAAACAAAAAACAAAAAAAAAAAAAAACAAAATTTTGCATGGACAATCAATCGGGAATGAAGAATTGCTTTTAATAAAATTCATATTAACACACGGGGATATTTTGTTATTGTAAAAATGTAAAAAGAATTCGGATAAAATTTCAATAGTTAATATGTATGAATTCCTCTCTACGGTTTACAAAGCGCTCGTGTCCGTTCCAACACAATTCGTCTCCGATCAAACAATAATATTCACGAAATCAGAGATAACGCAACGGGGAAAAACGTAAACCGCGATAATGCAAAAACGTAAAATCGTTCGTTCCGCGCATTTAATCCGCCGCATTGCGTGCTCGCGGGATGTGAAAATATAAGCGTGGCGTATTCACTGCACCGGTGTATTATCATGAGCGCGACGACCGCGGGTAGACGACGCGGATTTTCGTGGTGCTGCCGACCGATCGATTGCACGCGCCGTAAAATAACTTGTCCCGGGCGATCGTGCGCGAGCGAGCTAACGAACGTGTGGCCGTGCCGTGCCGTGCCGTGTGCGACCAACAGTTATTTACCGCGGGCAATGTGCACGGGTTTGCACGAAGGTGAACGCGTGCGGCGCGGCGGAAGCGCGTCAAAGCGATCCGGCTCTCGTAATGAGCGCCGGTCGTCCGATAATGGAATCCGGTGGCCCTCGAAATTGCGCTTATCTAACCGGACGCCGCGCCGCGCCGCACCGGCCACGGTCGTCGTTGTTTGTGCAATTCCAACTGCCTGGAATGGACAGCGGGCGCCGAGCCTCGAGCCGTATGTGTCGCTCATGAAATATTCTTTGTGCGATTCTAACTCGCCGTGTCGATTGCCGAAGCGAGATTCAGAAACGCGAATTCATGCCGACGCGGCGGCGAGGGGGAGGGGGGGGGGGTTGTCACGTTGAAGTCACGACAGTTCATTTCGCAGGGAAAACATTTAGG